GTCCAAGTGGCCTTTGGGATCTGGGATTCCTTCATGGATCTTCTCAAAAAAGAAGCTCCACTTTGCTATGCCACCACCTCCCTCTTTCTCTGTTGCTTTCAATATGAACTTAAAACTCTTGTATTCTTTCTTAACATCTCCTTCGAATAACTCCTTTTTCACTTATTTGTTCTCTTCGTCAAGCTCTTCAAATCTCACATTGCATTTCACCACCTTCCCGTCTGCACGTTTGTTTATATATCACACAAAAATTAAGAATCAGTCATAACAACAATAATTTACTCTTAGATTTTGAGCAGAATACAAGTCAGTTTCTAATCGTTCATCATATACAATTACTACAGCCAAGGACAATCAACTTAGCTAGAGCGATCATTAAAAACACAAAACCCTAAACCATCTTTCAAACTTTTCAAGACAGTTTCCCTCAATCGATTCTACCCCAACTTTTTAATTATGTGTTCTCGAATCTCAAACGTAATTTCAGGGACTATTTATAATTGTCACCATAATTTTCTTTAAATTTATTGTACAATCGAATCTTGCCAATAGTAATTCTGGAATTCTCAAATGAAACAACTAGGTGGTGTGGGAAGGCAGTGCTAGCTTCGCTGATCTTACATATACACAATCCATGGTGAAACTGGAATTCTCAACTTCTTCAAATAATTTTCTTCCTTAATTATTCCTGTTGGGATCCCAGTATCATCCGGCGATAGCGACCCAGATGCATATTATTCCTATGAGTGTTTATTTTTGTTCCTTGTTTTCTTGTTCTCAGAACAATTTTATAAAAAAATTTCTTAGAACAAATTTTGAAAACAAAAAAATAAAAGAATTTGTTTGGATAACAATTTAAAAAATCACATTGAAAAAAGACCAATAGAAAATCATACTTGGCAGGTGATAGTTGTCATTAGTAGTGATATATGATGGATAGTAGGTGAGAAGAGAAAAAGATTTCTCAAAATATTTTTAAAAAAAATAAATAACACAAAAACAAAAACAAAAAAAAAGTATAAAAGTTGTTTTGGTTTTTTCACTTTTAAAAACATGTTACTGTTTTTTATTTTTTTAAAATAATCAACTAGAAACAAATTATCAAACAAGTATTTTTAATTTTTTTTAAAAAAATTTGTTTTCAAAATAAGAAGCGAAACAAGCGCATAATCTCCCAAAATCAATGATATTCGTCTTTAGAGGAAGTAATATAATGAATCACTTTCACTAAAACAGAGATATAGGTTTTGTTTTCTTGTTTTGAAAATAGTTTTTTGTTTTAAAAAAATTTAAAAAAACTTTGTTTGACTATTAGTTTTTAGTTAGGCGTTTTTAAAAATAAAAAAAAGAAATTTTTTTTAAAAACTAAAAAATAAAAACAATTTTTAGTTGTTTTCTTTTCTTTTTTATGAATTTCTTATTTGGTAAAATTGGGGAACTCCTCTTTCCTCCGTTTGATGGCCTTTTTTCTAGTTGAGGACTTCACTTCCCATCAAAATTTCACCCTCCGGTTTGGGTATATTTATTTTCAAATATAATTTTTCAGAACAATTATCCAAATAGATTTTTTTTTTCCAAAACTTGTTTTACAAAACAATCTTATAAAATTGTTTTAAGAAGAAAAGACAAAAAACAGAATCAAACAGACCCATAATTATTTTCGTGGGTCTTACATCATGCTTATTTAAGTATCAATTATTGGCGTATTAAATATTATCAGAAAAGTATTAGTAGCTGTAGATGACTGTGCATTAAAGTTTTGCTACAAGGACAGAAGATTTTTAGGAAGAGAGGTCTAATTAAGGAGGCACACAATAGATGAATTTAAGGACTCCTTCATCTTAATTTTTTGACGGAAAAAAATAATAATCTTTATTCATTACCATGTGCATGCGATATACAACTATGATTTTTTTTTAATAATAACAACAATTTTACTTTTTTTACCAGCATTTACAACTCTAGGTGTAGGAGTTAATTAAAGGGTTGTTTTAATTTATACGTCACCAGAAATCGCTTGTATAAGTTGTGAATATAAAACTGGCAAAAAAATATTGTTAATATGAACGACAATGCAATGCAATGCAATATTTGTTAAGGAGGAATATCATTTTAGTCTGTACATATAGATTTGGTATCACTCATCTTCCATTACAACATACTAACTCGGCTATTTAATATAAGGGCTAATTTAACTTTTAATTTATTTTTAAATATAACACTCCAATTTATTGTGTCTCATACTTATGTATTTTTTCTCAAGATAGTTTCTGTAATAGTTATACATGTTATTAAAAGTTTTATCAAGTGATTAGTTTTAGCTAATTCACTTGATTAGCAAGTTTATTTTAGAAAAAACAATATCTATTTATTACTAACTTAACTAACTTTTTTTAATCTGCTCAATCAATTAATTAACTCTTATATTAAGGACAAGAGGTAGTATATATCAACTTAAGCAACGTTCAAAATTTGACAACCTCTTGATTAAAAATTATATCTGCACAACTCCAGTAATATTTAGAGACACACAAAAATGCGTGTGTCTTGTCAAGGGATGATGATTTAAATTTATTAATTTTTTATTTGAATGCGATAATAATCTTGAAAATAATTAATATGAATCGATTATATATGATGGGATTGCCTACTTTGATCTTATCGTGATCATGATTTACAGCTCCACATGTTTGGCGTGTTACCCCAAAATTTTTTTTATAAAGAAATAATTTTTTAGTTCTTTAAATTTAACTTGGTATGTATAAACTTTTGGCTCAAGTAAGCTTTAGTCCTTAATATTTTAATTTTATTTAATAAATTAATGCTTATCATACATGATTCACGTTGTGTCATCACCCAATCATATCCTACGTGGCAAGATAATTTTTTATTCTTTAATTTTATTATTTTAATAAACAACTTGGGAATATCTAATTGAAATGTCTACGCTGAATACTTTGTTATCCAGAGTATCTAAAAGCAGAGCAGACTACAAAACTAGCGCAGATGAAATTTTATATCAAATACTACTATTTTTCAGTAATTTGGTATATATTACTACATCAAGATTGAGAATTTTATAAAATTAGATATTACTCAGATTGATTAATGCTAATCCATAAAGTTATTAAATTTATAAAATTTAATCCAACAGTTCATCCTTCATGAGAGCATCGGATTCCATTCCGACAAGACTCTACCTTATTGAATGCAATTTAATTTACAAATAATAATAATAATAATAAAATAAAAAAATTAAATTGCAAACCTTCCAACTGTCTTCTACATGATTTATTAATGTTCTTGAATGTTACAAAAATCACGTTGTCAATGCTATTAAAAACATTCATTTCACAAACAGTATACTCATCTGGTCTTATTTATAAGTTATTTTCAGCATGTTTTATATTAGACCAAGGAAAATTTTAAATTTCATTAACTCTCATTTAAAATTTAATAATTTTTTTAACTTTATCCCTATTTAATATGCATTTGACTTCATGTAAACAAAGTTAACACGATAATAAATAAGCGTAGAATTGTCCATTCATACAAAAAAAATTTCTTAGTGTCCTATAAATGAGACTAAAAAAATATTTTCTCTCTACTCTATAAATAGGACCAGAGGAGTATTTCTCTGAGGATAATACTTATATCAATTTACTTATATCCATTATATCAAGTTCTTCAATTACAAATGATAATGTGTCTTATTTTTTAAATATTAGCATTTAATATTATTTAATTATAATTTCACATAAAATGAAAAGAGGCACATGGTCTTGTGTGATAAGAGAACTTGATATAATAAATATAAGCAACTTGACTTAAGTTTTTTCTTTTCTCTTATCCTATTTATAATGCATTTTAGCATATTTTACATAACCAAGGACAATTTTAAACATTATTAACTCTTCATTAAAATATAGTAAATTTTAACTTTAACCCTATTTAATATATACATATTTTAAAAAAATATATCCATAATACTATAATAAATAAAAAATAAAATAGTATATTCATGCTAAAACTTAAAGGGAGTCATTTATAAATAGAACTAAGAAAAACTTTTTCTTTCTGCCTTATAAATATAAAACTACAAGAGTAATTTATTTCTTTTAAAAAATTGCAACTTTTAAACAAATACAAAATAAGCAAAGCGCCTTATATATTAATTTACTGACAATTTAATTTCCCAAGAAGTGACACTTTCAAAAAGGCACTCCCTGCTGTCTAAGATTCTTGTTCGTTTTTTCCAACCCTTGATATAAAATTCAAATAACCAACTTTATGTGTAATAAAAAATTACATAAAATTAGTTAATAGTAATAAATAGATAAGAAATATATTTTTGTTTTCAAATATGTTCTTGTAATAAAAAAAATGAAAGAGAATATATGAAAAATTTAACAAGAGAAAATGTAGGAGGAATCAAAATAAATGCATTAAATGTGGAGATAAACCTAAATTAAATCTTATAAAACGGATAACAATTATGTGACATCTCTAAATTTGATCGGAGAGAGTAACTTTAATAAGTTGCTTAGTTGAACTGAGCAAGGCCTATATATATAATTACAGTTACATATAATTAATATGCAAAAAAAATTAAGTTTTTGAGGCTGTTAATAATTTATTTATATTTACGTTAATATATTAGAATATATGTAATTATTTTGTGACATATTCTCTCACTCACTCAGTCCAATTGTTAGATTTTTTTTTTCATTGTAGTCGGCAAAATATGAAGAGAGTGAATGCTAGCGGGATTTTGAAGGGCTGTACCTCTTAAGCTATGGGCCCATGCGAATAATTTTTCAAGTAGGACCTTTTGTATTGTCTTATAGAAGATAATTATGTTCGAGGTATTGTTGCACATTAAATATAAGTACAAAATTTGAATTTTGATTCGCATGCTAAAAGACTGGTTTAACATATGAAACTTAATTGCTTTGGTATGTTTATGGAACTTAACATTCATCCATCCCAAACCATACAGATTTAACATATGAAGATTCAATACCACTTATGTATCCATATATTTCAACAACCAACGAATAAATACATGATAAAAGCATTACTTCCGTAAATCTTAAAACCGTCAATCGTTCATAGTAGAATTCAAACACACTTGAGACACATGATTGCCCAATGCATGAAATCAACAACACAGACCTTATTCTTCATAGTTCATCACACACTTTTGACATCAGACGACACAATAATACATATAAGCTCTCAATCAACAGCACACAGACAACCTTATTCTTTAATAATTTAGTTTACTCATTAATCTCATTCGTTCGTTCTGGTTCACTTTCCCTTTTGAGCGCTGAGAAGAAGATGAGCATCAACATCTTTTGTCATGGTGGCTGCCAAGTCCAAGTAGCCTATGGGATCTGGGATTCCTTCATGGATCTTCTCATAAAAGAAGCTCCACGTTGCAATGCCACCACCTCCCTCTTTCTCTGTTGCTTTCAATATGAACTTAAAACTCTTGTATTCTTTCTTAACATCTCCTTCGAATAACTCCACTTTCACTGATTTGTTCTCTTTATCAAGCTCTTCAAATCTCTCCTTGCATGTCACCACCTTCCCGTCTGTTGTTTCCCATTTACAAAAACTAAGAATCAGTCTCAACAACATCAATTTACTCTTAGATTTTAAGCAGAATACAAGTCAGTTTCCAATGATTTAATCAGTCGTCATATATAATTACTACAACCAAAGACGATCAACTTAAGTAGAGCAGCCATTAAAAACACGAAACTCTAAACCATCTTTCAAACTTTTCAAGAATGTTTCTCTCAACCGATTCTACCCTAACTTTTTAATTGTGGTCTCGAATCTCAAGCGTAATTTCTGGGAACCATAATTTTCTTTAAATTTATTGTACAATCGAATCTTACCAACAGTATAAGTCCAGCGCTTAGAAGATCCAATGGCGTGCCAGTCATCTCCTTCATGAAGCTCTCCTGCATGGACACAACTAGTGGTGTTGGAAAGATTATGAAGTTGCTTGGTGAAGAACTGGAAGAACTCAGTCGCAGGAGACTTGATCTCAATTTCAATCTCCAATTTGCCACTAGGAGCCATAGCTTCTTCAATGATACACTGATGATGTGAGATCTCAAATTCAAGATAATCTATCGAGTGGGACTACTGGTGTGGGGAGAGAACGCTAACTTCATTTACTTTTATACACAACCCATGATGGTAGTATCTGCTAAATCACCTTATTTAATTTAATTTAATTTCAGAAATTAATCGCATGCCTTACATGATTTTTCATGTTTTGTAATCATGCAAAACGATAACTGTGCCTCTAGCACCCTAAAGAATTTTGTGGCTCAACTAAATCTTAAAGTATTTTCACATGTGCGTTTAACGCTCTAAAATATTTTGTGATACATCTAAATTTTAAAATATTTTCTCATGTGCGTCTAGCAGTCTAAAATATTTTGTGGTGCAATTTTGCTATTAAAGTATTATGGTGATAGCTGCATAAAAAAAACCGTACTGGATGATTAATGAAATATCTCAAGATACTGGATGCACTTAAAAAAAATTTCAAGATGCTGGATTAACCATGAAATACTCTAGGATGTACTTGCATTTGCGAGGTGTTATTTGTGTGCATATCGATGGCAAAATATATACACACACATTGGCTATTGTATTTAATATCCAAACTAAGAATTCATTTATCTTCCTCTCTCTCTCACACGCACAAAATCCAATTGTTAGATTATTTTTTCACTGTTGTCGACAAAATATGAAGAGAGTTAAATCCTGTTATAGTCGATTGAAATGGGAAAAAAAAAACAGAAACTTGTCATAAGGTTCTAAGAAAAGAATTTAATTATCAAAAAGTTTCAATAACAAGTGAATAATTATTATTTTCTATACTAAAACTTGTCATTGCATATTTTTCAGTTGTTAACGGGCTTTGGAATAATAAAATTCCTTTCTTGGGACTTAAATGCAATTCCTCCAAAAGAAAGCCTGCCGGATTATGAAGGACTGTGCCTTTGGGCCATGGTTCCATGCCAATAATTTTAGGAGAATTACCAAAAAGTTTTAAAAAAATTTAATTACTAAAAAGTCCCAATGATAGGTGACCAGCCTAATCTTATTATTATTTTCTACTCTAAAATTTGTCATTACTTACTCTCCACTTGTTAATGGACTTTAAGGTAATTAAATCTCATCCTTAAGATTTGATTGTACTTTTCCCAATAATTTTCTATGTAGGAACTTTTGTACTCCATAAGATTTCATGTTAGTTTGGTATTTTGGCTTTTCTGCATTTTTCTGTAAAGAGTTAGCACGATTTTTTGTCTTTTAAGTTTGTACAAATTTTGATTTTAGTCTCTGAAATTTCAAATCATAAATTTTGGTCCCTCAACGGATAAAGGTTTTTATTAAATTATAGGTACTAAATTTTAAATGAAAAGAAACTTGAGGGACCAAAGCCAAAACAAGAACAAATTTGAGAGATAAAAAATTATATTAACCCTTCTTTAAATTATAGGCACAGTCGTGTAAATATACCTTTATTGAAAGCAATTCCATCAAACACTAAATATAAGCACTTTTTTTCATTATATTAATTTGCTACTCCTTTGAACCTAAATGGGTTCAAACTTATTTTATAATGTAATTATATTTAGAATGAGTATACTGTAAAAAACCAATATTTTCTTGCTAGATCTAGTCCCCTTGACTGCGTTAATACTTTGATGGAACACAAAATTCATCAACCCCAAACCATACAGCTCTGGCAAGACAGACAAGAAATAAATGCTCCATAATTCATGCTACTATGCGGTCATTGATTAATTTTTGAATTGAAGCAGTAGTGGCGGAGATGTAATCTCACATAGAACCAAGTGTAAGGCAGTGATGTTGTTGCTATATTACCTCCACTCCTTAGAATAACTACATAAGTAATTTATGAATATTAAAAAATTAATTAAACTAGTTATTTGTAATAAATAGATGTTGTTTTTTTTTAAAATACTCTTATTACTCATATACTTCCTTCAGTCCTATATATAAGCTTAACTTTTGGAGAGGAGTCTGATCCAAAATATAAGCATCAATTTTGAGTTTGTCTGAGCATTTATTACTTTTTCCCCCTTCTATTTTGCTCTTAGTTGACTAGATTTACAACTCCCTCTCTCTTATTAATATTACCCTCATATATTCTCTTTCATCATTTTTTTTTCATTTATTACCTCTCTTATTTAATCTCTTAATAAAAAAAGATATATTTGAAAAAAAATACATTTCTGACCTATTTATTATTTTAAACTAATTTTAACTTTTAGTTCATTAAACGTGATTCGGTTATTTGAAACTTATATATAGAACTAGAGGGAGTACATAGACAAAATGGACAAACATTAGAAACAAAGTGAATTGAGATCTTATATTTAGAATCAAATTGAATCTCTAAAGAATGGGAGGTATTGCACTGGAATTTGTCTAATGAATCTGTCTGTTTTTGGAAAGAAAAAACTATAATATCCTGTCTTATTGTAAAATACTCTTAAATTGAAGTATCTATATGTACTGAACAAAAATAATTTGAGAATTCTATTGTGACACGCAAGACATGCACGTTTTTAAAAGCTATTTCCATTACCTTTCATGTTCTCATTCCATAAGAAATATGCTTCTATCTTGCCAAACAAGGCCTTAAGACAGAAAAGATATATAACTTCATAAATTTCACTTTGAAAAAGACACGAAAGTGAATGCGTGAGACTGAATGGAAAGCGATAGGGATCGAGCATGATGATTTCCCCCCAGTTAGTGGAGAGCTTACTGTGTATTGTACCCTCTGGACGGTGAGAAAATTTTCATATGAATTGGATAATTTTATCTTTCATTTATTTGTGTGTTAACTTTGTTTTCATATAGAATATTGTATATTAAATAGAGATAAAGTTGTAAAGTTGTTAAATTTTAAATGAGAGTTAATAAAGTTTAAATTTTTTATTGGTCAGCATAAAACATGTTGGAAGTGATTTATAAATAAGACAAAAAAAGTATATTATTAGATTGAATTTGATTATTCAAATTTAATAATTTTTAAAAGTATAAATCAATTTATATCATTAAATAGAAGCACTCATCCATCATCAGTTGAACTTGCCCCAGTCATTGAGTTTTCCAACTATCTCTTCTCTCTCCTATATTTTCTTTTGTGCGGTGCTTTGTTGTGCTACTCAAATTTAAGCTCTATTAGTCTAAACTCTGCGTGAGCACTGATAAATTGACTCATGGAGTGAAGTTAACTTGCCCTTAATTTGTCGCTTTAAGGTTACTCCAAAAATTAACTGAATTAATGCAATATAGTGCACAATCGGGTCGTATTCACTTTGAGGAGCCGAAAATAAAATTAAACCCTAGTAAATAAATACAAGTAACCTAAACTATAAAAAGAATTTTTGATTTTTGAAAAATTGCTAACTAAATGCCTTGAATTAAATTGAAATTAAAATACTTTTTTTTTGTTATTTTTATATAAAAATGATTGAAATAAATTGAAGATGAAAGAACTGAAAATGAAACACACAAAACTCACTGGTCCAAAAAAAAATTGTTGTTGAGTAAGAAATTAAAGTAACTAAAACTCCCTTTTGATCAAGGACGATCAACTTAGCTAGAGTGGTCATCAGATATAATTACTACAGCCAAGGACGATCAACTTAGCTAGAGCGGTCATTAAAAACACAAAACCCTAAACCATCTTTCAAACTTTTCAAGACTGTTTCTCTCAATCGATTCTGCCCCAACTTTTTAATTATGTGTTCTCGAATCTCAAGCGTAATTTCAGGGAATATTTACAATTGTCACCATACTTTTCTTTAAATTTATTGTACAATCGAATCTTACCAACGGTACAAGTCCAGCGCCTAGAAGATCAAATGGCGTGCCAGTCATCTCCTTCATGAAGCTCGCCCGCATGGACACAACCGATGGTGTTGGGAAGATTGTGAAGGTGCTTAGTGAAGAACTGGAAGAACTCAGTCGCAGGAGAATTGATCTCAATTTCAGCCTCCAATTTGCCACTAGGAGCCATAGCTTCTTCAATGATACACTGATGATGTGAGATCTCAAATTCAAGATAATCTATCGAGTGGGACTACTGGTGTGGGAAGAGAACGATAACTTCATTTACTTTTATCCACAGCCCATGGTGATAGTGTCTGTTAAATCACCTTATTTAATTTAATTTAATTTAATTTCAGAAATTAATTGCAAGCCTGACATGATTTTTCATGTTTTGGAATAGTGCAAAAAGACAACTGTCAATACTATTAAAAACACTTATTTGGAGGGAAAAAAAATAAGGATACGTGCTTTTCTATTCTTAATATAAAAACTATATAACTAATTCGTAAATATTAAAAAAATAAAATAAGTATGTTAGTGATTTATAACAAATGTGTACTAGTTCTCTCTAAAATATCCTTTCTAAATCATGTGTATTATAACTAATTCTTGATGAAAATTCTCTTATTATATATAATCAATAGGAATACTTTAAAAAAATAAATCTTAGAGATAAAATAGATTAAGGGCATATATTAGATGTAGGATCAAAATAAACCTCTGGTCTAGCTCCTATATTTAGGATTGAAGGTAATATTATTTTATAAAAGCTATGTTGGTGTTTATTAGATTATAGTAGGCTTAAATAATCAATTCAAGTTCAAGTATTACCAACAGAAGTATACCTTATAATGTGCGTATTTGGGCGTTGAGTAAATGAGTGAAATATATCTAAATTTATATTATTCACTAAGAAATAATCTCTTTCTCACAAGAGTGGCCCTAAATATAAGAAATAAATTCTCTGTCTTAAATTGTAAAGTAATCTTTTCACTTTCACCTATTAAATATATGTCACTTATTATCTCTCTATAATAAATTTTCACTACTTATCTCTCATATACTCCCTCTATAAATAAGAGTAAACTTGAAAGTATATATTCCATCCAGTCCATAATATAAGAAATTGGCTGACTTTTCTCATATACTAAGAAATGAAAGTTTAGACATTAAATATGTAATAAGTGATAAAATTTTCCTATTTTTCCCCCAAAAAAATGATAAATTTGTCTTTAATGTTACATTTTTATTA